TCCCCACTCTGTCTTTGGGGAGTCCTCTCACCGCCCCTGCACCTCTGGCCTGTACCCCAGTTCTGTATGCATAAATAAATATATCTTTTTAAAAAATCACTACTATATAAAAGTTAGTATATAAAGTAAGAGACGGTTGTTTGCTTTCTCACTTGCTATAATTTGACTTGAAGCTCTGGACTTCAGGAAATAATTAATATATGAATAAACTGCTGTATGCAATTCTTGATGGAAAGACATTTTATCTGACATAGATAATGGTTAAAACAATCTGTAGGTATCAAACTTCAGAGAGAAAAACATTATCCAACAAAGTAAATATTTTTAAATATCCCAGAAAGCTTGAAATTGTGATTTTTTTTTTTTTGAGTGACGTTTTACACACAACACAGTAGTATAATCTTGGGCAACTGACTTAATTCAATTTCCTTACTGCTCAAATGACTGATAATAGTACTTACCTCTCAAGGTTATATTTATAATTAGATGAGTATATAGGAAAGGATGTGACATTAAACACAACCAATCAAGTCAGTTATTAACCCTCACCTAACATTTCCCTCTAAAAATAAGACTTACTTTTAGGAAAACCTGAAGATCTTGAGTCTGAGTATGCTGTAGAATGTCTTTTTGTAGATGTTTGAATATAGCTATACAGATATACACTTGATAATCAGGACCAAGGAAAACACAAGTAGCAATATAATGGCAAATTTCTATCCAATCTAAATAATTCCAAAAACACTGAGTTATCCATTGCAGACAGATCTAGAGGGGAAAAAAAAAGTGTCAGTTCATTAGAAAGGTAGGATAACCTTACTGCTTTTGAAACACACTTAATAGCACACAAGAGCTTTGCATTTAATTTGACATTTTGCACATGCCTAAAAGGGTCCCTTCACCATTTTACTTACTGCATGAAAAAAACTTCACAACCTGGAACTCAAGACTTAGGAGGTACCTGACAGTACTCACACTATCCATACCCCTATTGCTAATACCTTCTTTATATTATCCTCTTACCCAAATCTGCTAAGTGATTACTTTAATTCAAAGATAGGAATTTTTTCTGTCCTACCTATGATCACAGATGTATAATTATGCAATGACAGATTGCTAAATATTATATTAATGCAAATGGTCTCTATCGAATCAGAAAATAATTTCAGCCAAACAGAACTACATAAGACTGGAAGCTAATGTAGACATTAAATTTAAAAGATAAGATTTTCGTAAAGATTATCTTAGTTTTGAATAACACTTGCAGAGATTATAGAAGCAATGCATGTTCACTGTGGGGAAAAAAACATAAATTTAAGAAAAAAAGAAACAATGAAACAACGGTGGCACAGAGATTAACACTGTTAACATTTTTGTGTATTAGTATTATGGATAGAATAGTGTCTCTCCTCCAAATATGTCAAAGTCCTCAACCCCAATACTGTGACATTTGGAAACAGAGGCCATTATTTAAAGGAGGGCATCAGGGTGTACCCTCCTCCAGTATGATTTATATCCATATATAAATGGTATATCTGTACACAAAAATAGACAGAAACAGCTGAAAAAATAAACATGAACAATGTTGTGTGCAGACAGAAGCCTGCAGTGCACCTACTAGCCAAAAAGCGTAAAAGTTAACCAGAAGCTAGAGAAAAAGCATCAGTCCTTCACCTGGTGCCTTTAAAAGGAGGAATGGGGAAACATGTGGTGGATTCTATATCATAGATATAGAAGCTACAGTTGTGGCTTTTTACTGTATCTTTTAAATGCATTCTCAATTTCTAAAATTTGTGATCTCTGACTCACATTTGGGGACTTGAATTTAGATCTTTGTAACTGCTTTTAACATGGACTAGGCTATCCTAACAATGCATGACATAATGGGTAACCTAAGAAATGTATTTTCATATAATTCTGAGGAATTCCATGAGCAAGATATCAGCAGTGTTGGTTTCTTCTGAGGACTCTCACTGGCTTGCAGATGTTAGCTTTCTCCCAATTTATTATATGGCCTTCCTCTGTACATGTGTGTTCAAATTTCTTCAATTAGGATACCAGTCACATTGGACTATTACCTCATTTTAACTTAATTACCACTTTAAGGAACCTCTCTCCAAATATAATCATATTAAAGATATTAAGTGGGTTAGAACCTCAACATATGAATTTTTTGAAGATATCAAATGGTATCTTTGAATTCTAACTTTCCATGTATTACTCCTGCCCACCACTAATATTTTAATTTCAGCAATTATGGCCATCTATTTTTATCTAATCCTTTTGGTCTATTGTTAACACCAAAAATATCTGATCAAATATTTTATTGTTTTCTGACAGTAATTCTGTACTCAGGTATAGTATTTTCCTTCCCAAATAGTTCAATTAATAAGCCCCCAAATCTTTTCATATTGAATTGGAATGTATCCATGAATGTCCAGTATTTGTCAGTAGGCCGGGGATATTTAATTTCCATTAGTCTCAAATTTACTGTTCACTTGGCACTAAATAGAATTCTTCTCCCAGATCTTGACCTAGAGGATAAGCTGGCATACAGCCAATCACCAACTTTCCATTGCCCACAAAATATCCATGTAGTGTGGCTTGTGCTGAAATGGAGAGAAAGTATCTCATGCTCTTACTTTAGACAGGTTGAAGTAGTCAGTACTTCCCTGACTAGAAGCGATAATTTCAATTCAACTTAGAAACTTTCTAGGTTTAAAGTTCAATCTGAGTTAATTGATCCTATTTTCAACCTGTAGAACATTAAGGCCATCTAGGAAGAAGGTAAACATAATCTGGGGCTCCTTTATCTACTTACTAGTCATCCTGTAACACAATTGAATGGAAACTACTTTCTCTAGCTACAGGGATCATTTGTATTAATTTTCATTCTTCACTTGTTTTTCCTTCTTCATTCACTCAGAGACTCTAATTTTCATTGACACAGAATGGCCATAAGTTGATTGGCATTAATAGGTGTAGCAAAGAGCAGAGACAGAAAAAACCTTGGTAACAATGCTTTAAGGGAATTGAAATTGTACTATCATATTGCTGATTACATGTGTTCCTCATGATATAATACCATCAACTGGGAACACTAAGTTAATTTCATTTATCGTCATAGGGGCTCAATTTGAACTAAAAATCTGTGTATGCCTCAGATCTACTAAAAAGTAAACCTATATATTAGCCCTCAGAGGGAAAGCTGTCAGTTGAGAATTCAAATGTACACAAAGGTATGAGTACTTACATAAATGATATCAGTTTAAATGTCTTTTCTATATTTGAGAATGCAATTTCCTTTAAAGACACAGATTGAGAGTTGAAGAAGCATTACTGCCCATGGATTACCTGTGATGGTGTATAACCAGACATATGAAAAGCTGAAAATACAAGCGGCACCTCAGCCTTCAGTAGCATTTCAATATAGTGAGTACTGCAAAAGTATATTGGGTGGATACCAGATTCTATAGTGTCAATAGGTAGGTATCTCTGCATAAAAGAGAGAAATGGAGAATTAACGGATATGAAGCTAACTTAAAAGAATCAAATAAACATAATGTTTTCTTTTGCTTTGAATTTTGCTACTTCAAAATTAATGTGGTGGCACAACAGGTTGCTGCAAATATTATAATTATGCAAATTTAAAAATTAGATTATTAAATACTATTAAAATAGTCAGGGGACCTCCCTGGTGGTGCAGGGTTTAAAGTCAGTGCTATCAAGCTATGAGCATTCACTGCAGCATGAGTTCAATCCCTGGCCAGGAAGCCAACCCACATGGCTCAGCAGATCTCTCCTGTCTTGCCCACTGTGCCCCTCAACAGTGTCTTTCAGTAAATTCTCCTGTTCTGCTCTCCACTCTATTTCTGGTGAATCTTTTTACCTTTCCATACCTCTGGCATCATTTGAGGAGTATACAGTAAACAAACATATTTTTTAAAACTTTAATCCTATGGTTCTCAAACACAAATCTTTTTCTTTTCAGGAAAGCAAAACAAACGAAAACAGTGAATGAAATCTTCCAGGGTAAAGCACATGTAAGATAAGGAAGGGGTTTTGACACATTCTATTTCCTCAAAGATAGGTCACTTGGCTTACTATTCTGCTAAAACCATATGAAAGGGTTATGAATATGCCATAGATACTGATGTTTGTAAAATGTAAATATAAGTGTAAATGTGAATACTATTAGCATTTTAAACTAACAACTTCTCCACAATGAAAGTTTAAAAAAAAATAGGCAGTGAAAAATTGAATAAAACAAAATAAAGAAACAATGATAAATTAAGGGGTGATGCACTGCCTTAATGCTTATTGAAGCGCCATTAAGGAACTTTACAATATTTTATCTTACAAGAGGAAAATAAGAACTCAATAAATATTAGTTTCTAGGATCTCTATCAGGATAGAGATATTAATAATACTTTGTCCTCACTTTGCAGGGAACTAGTAAAATCTTTTCAAATGCACTATAATACTTTACTCAAAATGAGCATATCTTCCAAAATGTATATGTCATTTTTCTTTATAATATCTGGTTATAATTTCTACTTAATAATTATTATGTTAATAATATTTATTATCAAAGTAATAATAACAAAAATAAATTGTATTCTGACTGAAATTTAACAAAGAGATTGTAACAAATCAATAATAAAATATTCTTTAGATAATTCTTTTAACATAATTTATACTTTACAAATGGACAAATTTAAAATTTAAGGATACATCTATTATTGTTAACCTTTCACCTGTTTACCATTATGTTGACAAGGAGAAAATGTCAACTCCATATATTCAATGAGAATCAACCAAAATGCATTCATATATAAAATGAGTATAAATTATTACTGGGTCCTCTGCAACTAACAGTAAGATCCCAGTGAATTTAAGTAGAATTTTCAAATTTAAAACATTTCTTTAAAAATAGACTAAAATATCTCACAGAAATATGTAGTCTCGGTTTCCAAAGGAAAGCAGAGATCAGAAGTCTCGAAAACTGCTGAAGAAATCGGAATGCTTTCTCTCTGTCGCCCAGCATTATCAAGAACAAAGTGGATACAAACCAGTCATGGCCAGCGTAGTTTCCCTGCAAGCTGACTGAGAAGCAAAGTTAAGGATCTTTACAATATTTTATCTTACACGAGGAAAATAAGAACTCCATAAAAATTAATTTCTACGATCTCTATCAGGAAAGAGATATTAATAATACTTGGTCCTCATTTTGTCTTGAACCAACTTATAAGCTAGTAAAGTAAAACTAAGCTTTACTTTTCATAAAAATAAATCTCTTACAATGCTGATATGTCCAGTGGAGACCCATGGTATTAATAACTAGGGAATAACTATCTGCTTTGTAAAAACACACTTGTTCAAGTCTTGAACACAGCACCACCACTGGATTCAGATTCTCTGCTAAGGGGTCTTCAGCAAATGGCCACCCACTAGGTGACACCCCTCAAGGAGCCTGCACCATCTGATTGTTGGGGAAGAGAACAGCAGTCAGAGGAGCTAAAAAGGATCAGTTACAAATAAGAGAGGTTATCTCCAGCGTAAGAAATTTGACACAATTTTAGAATTCAGTAATGCAAATAGTGTGCATAACTTTCTTCACTCCAAATCTTATTTCTGAAAGACACCCACTCAAATAAAACAATAAAAATAAAGAAATGCAAATAAAATAAATAGAAATTATATATATATAAAACTTTACTTGAAGGGCGCTCCCTGGTGGCACAACTGGTTAAAGCACCGCATTATGAAGCTCTCCAAAGCCACTGTTGCATGAGTTCAATCCCGGGAGCTGACCTATATGGTGTGGCAGACCTCTTCTGACCTGCCTGCTGCTACTCTCAGAAGTGTACTTAGTCAATCTGCCTGTTCTGCTCCCCTCCCTGTGTCTGGTGAATCCTTTCACCCACCACACCTCTGGCCTGTACCCAATTTCTGTAAACATAAATAAATATTTAGAAATGTGTTATAATAATTTTAATTATTTGATTTAGGTTTCACAAGATTGAACTAAATAATTCAACTGACATTAATAGTATACATATTAAACAATAAGATACTATGAATATATGTGACGACATGTCATCACTATAGGTTAAAGTATTATTTTACTTATACCTGTTAAGGTATCCTACCAAGAAACTATGAAAAACACATAGAGAAAGCTCAGTTACTGTGAATATTCTCAAAAGGATATGAAGAGAAGATTTTACAGGAGTTTGTTGCTGTTTCAGGAATCTCCCACAGTGTTTTAAAACCAAGGTAAGGTCATTTTCTGCATCATCTTTTAATAGGTTGAGGAACTTGCCATAACTATATTAAAAGCCCACAAAATATACAAAATGAGAAATGTCAGACCCTGCATAGCAAATGTACTTTTTGAAATCTATCAAAATATATTCCTCTTGGACCTCAAGCTTTTATATTTTTTGCTTTCAACATAGTTTGCCATCTAAAGCACTTAGGAAAGATTAACACTCATTACATATTCCTGATAATTATGATACATTTCAATTAGCATTATTCATCTGGTAAATACTGGCAACTTTGAAAAAAAATAAAATAGTAACAAAGGAACAAAATTAAATAGTAACAAAGGAACAAAATTTCAACTACCATGCAGTAGAAATAAGTATTTTTTGCCTGAAAATCTAAAACATGGAATTCTGACAGGTTAGATGGACAAAGTCTAGAAACAATTTTACAGTTCATCTGATCAACAAGTTCTAAAAGGGGATTGTACTTATCCAGGGAGCACTGAAATTAATGGGAATGGTTTTGATCATCTTACATGAGTAGAGGGTACTGTTGAGGGGGAGGAGGTTAGACATAGGACAGTTCTTCACATAAACAAGTTGCAAATGCCCTGCCTATTTCTTGCATGGATAAAGAAAAGCCATTTATAATTATATAAAATTGTTTTATGTACTATAATAAAATGTTTTTCCTAGATTTCTTAATATACACTGAATACAACCATTTGTAAATCAAGGAAAGATAATACTTTTGTTTGAAGACTTATTATGACTTGCTCACTATTTTGGAAAAGTCTCCTGCAGTATTTAAAGTACTAAAATAAAATCAGTATCTGTTAACAGTGATCACAAACATAATGATTCTATATGGGTGAGAGCTATGTCTTATGTTGTAGGTGCAAACAAGCATTTCAAGAGAAATCACTTTCAATTTATTACTCACCAATAAGAGATTACAGTAATTTTAAAAATGTGACTAGTCTACTTCCATTGTCTGTGTATTTTATAATAGGGTATTATAAAATTAAAAACAATAGGTCCCAAAACAATTAGTTACATGTTCTATGTGATGAAAGTGATCAAGTTAGACAACTATTGTTTTAATGATAATGATATACATTTACAAAAATTATCAATTTAACATATTTAACATGTAGCTTTCTTTATACTTGATTCTGAAGAGAACCCACTGAAGTAGAATATGTTTGCCAACTTATCCATTAAATAACAAGAAAGGAGTGCTCAAGGACTTTGTACTTACCCTTTTAGTTGCACTTCACTTGCCATTTCTTTTGAAATGTATGGTTAACTAAAATTTCAAACTACAATAATTGGTTTATTCATTTTAACTTCTGCTACTATCCTAAGGTATACTGTGCACTCACAAGAGTGTGACAATTAAAATGGTATTTGTATTTTTAGAATAACACTTCCCCTCTTATCTTGCTATTAAATGGAGGTTTTACCAAAATGTTGATTTTTACAATGCCATTTTACAAAAAGAAAAAACAGATGACAAAACTTGTTAGAGGCTTAAATACACTGAAATAATAATGAACAGTAACTGAGTTACATGCAGAGGTAAGTAAACCATGTGTTAGTATCTTCAAAAATAAAGTTATTATTTTCTGAATAATAAACACTGCATTTAAAGTATGTAAAATTTTTGGTTGTTAAATTCTATTAAGCACATACCAGGCAGATAAAACAAATTCTAGAAATGCACAAGGGAGTTATTTCTTGTAATATACCTGACAGTCATTTTAATGCCAAGCTGTTGCACAGATGAAAGATTTTCATTCTTCACATTTGCATCTGTAGCTTAAAAAAACAACAACAACAACAATAGAAAACTGGGTTATAAAAATGTATAAAAGTCTGCATAATAATCACATTTTAATTGAAAATTGATGAAAGCAATATTTTTACATATTTTAATGTGAGTTTTGAAAACACTGATGAATTTGTTCTTTTAAGAGCTGTCAATTACATTTTTTAAAAATTAAAAGAAACTTTTACAAATAACTTCTCCCTATTAAAAACATTTAAAAGCATATTAAGTATAAAACAACTAATTATAGCTTCAAAGCAATCTTTTTACTTAGATCTCAGAATGCCAAAGCTATTAACCTAAAAATGGTCTAGAATATTCTAGAATACATTCATCAAGCAAGGCTCATAAATGACTTTAACTGTGTGTGTGGTTTTTTATTCCCTCTAAGACTCATGTTCAAATCTTTAAGAAGTAATTAGTATTCTATCTATTATGTGTAACAATATATGAGAATAGAAAGGGTTTCTTCCTGCAGCTGGATTCTATTTTTATGACGTAGGAACTGTAATCACCTATCAAGATTGAAGGAGTTGTACACTGCAGAGGATACAAGAGAGATTCAAAGCTTAAATTAGTCCTTGAGGACAAAGGAGAGTAAGCTAATAGTAAATCCTTAAAAGCATCACTAGATACCACTGGTCTGGGTGAAACTCAAATTTTAACTTAAGTTGTAGCTCATGTTTCTGTGCTCACACACACGCTCCTTCTTGCTCTTTCAAGAGATTTGTCCAAAGTCTCATAGCTAGCTAGTGGTAGAGGACTAAAAGCTATATTTTCTAAATCCCATATCAGCTGCTGTCCCCACCCCAATACACAGAGGTTTCTCTCAAACTATTAATATAATCTACTTAACTCCTGAACTCAATAATGTCTTTCAATAAATCCTGTCTGATAAAGTGTGTAGAGCACTATACTTAAAGCGATGGAGGATAAAAGATATATCATACAGCATGCCCTAAAAGAACTTTCCATGTAGAGACAGAGATAAAATTTGTATCTAGATAACTGTGATAAAGAGGCTTCAATGTACTAAGTGGGATAAAAATCACACAGTTTTATAAATTCAGGAAAGGGAGAGATTCCAAAAAAAAAAAAAAAAGTAGCATTTAAACTGAGCATGAAAATATAGGTAGACTCTAAATCTGAAGAGATAGGGAAGAACAAAGTTAACATCAGTCTTTATCGAGTTATCTCCTCTGTGGGCTATAGCAAAAATAATCTTACAGAGTTAAAGTGACCAACTGGTCTAGTTTGCCAAGGATTTCCATGATGGTAGCACTAAAAATCTCATGTCCACGGAACCTCTTACAATCCCACTCAAACTAAACCTGTGGCCACCTTACACATAGTTTTTAAATTTTCTTAAAGAAAAAAATTAAACACTCAGTTAATTTTTTTGATAAGCTACATGAGTTTTATTTGTTTAGGTCAGATGTAATTTTATCAGTATTGTTATATTTGTCCTATAACAGGAGCAGTTAAGCTATAGTTTATATGGTTTACAAGTCCATGTTATTTATAACCCTTGTTGTGACTGCTACAGCAATTTCCCAGAGAAATCAGGTGACACTCAGAGGTGGAGAGAGAGTTTTACTTGTCATACCATAGGCTCAGTGGGATTGGTCACAAAAGGCTTAGTCCTGAATTACAGGTTGTATGAGGAACCTTGTCACTCCATCCATCATAGATTGAGCATTCTTTATTGTTTGGGAAGGGGTCAAGGTGGCCATAGCTACTACTGTGGGCAAGCAGGATCTTTCAACTCCAGCAAGCATCAGAATCCAAATAGCAGACCTGGGGAAGTAGCAGAATGTAAGCAGCAGACTCCCCCAAGCAACAGACTGGGAAAACTTCCTATTTCACATAAATGTATATTCTATCCCTAGAGAGAAGGAGACCAGCTCTGGATTTCTATTAACAAGTTTAACAATGAAGACGATTTTCTTTTCTAGATTTTTCAAACTGGAGTGAAGATAGATTCCTACCCCCACACTCCACTAATTACAGAGCTTTGAGGTGTCCTGCATCTCCAGTGGAAAGAGAGGAATCCAAAGTCCAGGGAGGGGAAGAGACAGAGAAATGAGTTAGAATGCTACGGACAGCTTCATCCCATTTACATAAACCAAAAATTGTGAGTTTTACTGCTAAGACAAATTTGACTTGGGTTTACAACACTTGGTAACCAGAAACATCTATCACAAATTAGTCCCAAGCTCACAAAATTAGAGTCAATTTAAAAAATATTAATCATCATTCATTTTTACCATTTCATGTATCAACAACATTTTAAAAATTAAGCAATCATTTAAACCCTCAGCTTTAACAATACCCACTATAGAGGATTAAGATCAAATTCATGTGGGTAGTGACCTTGAAGTTCTTTTTGCCTAGTACCTGATGCAGGAACTAAATCTGCTGTTTGGTGATCCTATACTTGATGAATTATAGTTTAAAATTCATTAATATGCAAATGTATGCTTGTAATTATACCAATTATTACCTTCTGAAAGTATTAAACAGATACCTTAATAGTAGGGGAGTACTAGAATGGGCATTTTTAAAGTCAGATACTCTTGAGGTCAGATGGCTTCTACAAGAACATGTTGACTTCTATCCACATCAGTGAAAAATAGCAATAAAGTTAAGGATCAAGGTGAGTCACCCAAAGAGGCTGTTTAAATGTAATATGAAGATAAGATTCTTAGTTCCCCATGGAAGGAAGGAATCCTTCCAGAGTGTCCTTGCTGTCTTCCTTGAGATGGTAATTTAATTGGAGCTTAACTGGAGTTTCTGAAATTGTGGGATAATTTCTCAAGTCTAGTCCCTCTCAAACACGTAATTCTGTAACTTAATTCTGTATATTTCAACAGGTAATGGTTCCCAGTTATGACAGTGTTCCATAATCCTCTGAGAAGGTTTTGCAATTTTTATTTCTGAAATTTTACTTTTAGTTTTAATTGAGGATACATATTTGGATACCCCCATCAGGTATTAACACTGTAGAGCTCACCCTACCACCAATGACCCTAGTCCATCACTATATTCCACTGTGTTTCTCTCTTAGTTCCTGCCCTTTCTTTACCTCCACCTTCCCTAGACACAGGATGCTTTAGTTCTATAATCAGCTTTCAGGGGTTAGTTTTTAAGTTTGTCTTTATCTGACTCCTAGGTTAGCTACTCTGTTTTCCACATATTAGTGACACTATAAAGTATTTATCTCTCTTCTTTTAACTTATTTCACTTAGCATTATCCCTTCTAGCTCCATCCATGTTGCTGTAAATGATATGAGTTTAAGATGTATTTATTTATGCATACAGAACTGCGGTACAGGCCAGACGTGCAGGGGTGGTGAGAGGATTTACCAGAGACAGAGTGGGGAACAGAACAGGCAGATCAATCAAGTACACTGCTGAGGGGAGCAGGGGGCGGGTCAGGAGAGGTCTGCTGTGCCATGTGGTCACCTCCAGGGGTGGGGATCAAAATCATGCTGAAGTGGCTTTAGCTTCTTAGTGCTGTGCTTTAATATCCTGCACCACCAGGTAGGGCCCTTACTCAGCTTTATAAAAACAAAAAGATAGGCCCTCTCTGGGGAAAATGGGAGTGAGGGTTTCCTTTTGAAATAGTGTTTTTAATTTTTTTGGTATATACGAAAGAGTGGAATTACTGGTCATATGGCATTTTGAATGCTTTGAGACCCCTCCATACTGCTATCCACAGGACTGTATTAGTCTGTATGTTCACCTGTAGTACAAAGGGTTCCTTTTTTTCCAAATCCTTGCCAGTGTTTGTTGTTTCCTGGGTCTTTTCCACATGGGCCATTCTTACGAGGTGGTATCTCTATGCACTTATATTTTCCTGATAAGTGATAATGAACAGTTTGTGCCTGTTGAGATCTGAATAGCTTCTTTGGAAAAGTGTCTGTTTGCCTCTGCCCATGTTTTATTTCTGAGATTTTAAACTTTTACTTTGTAACTGCTTTTAGTTCCAATTGTATGTAACAAAAGATTTCACTTAACTTTTGCTTGTCAAGTTGTCAAGCAGCATATCAAGCACAAGCTAAAAATTGAAATCTCTCTGTTACCATATGTTCCTAAATTGTTTTCTGACTTTCCCTTTCCTGGAAATTTTTCATTTCTCTCGCTTTTTTTTTTTAATTTCCTGCAGAATTTTATTTAGAATGGCAATCAGTGCTTACTGACATATGCACAACAACTTGTGGTATATATAAGGGCTTAATAATCACTAAGTCAGTGAATGAGTAACTGAATGAATGAAAAAATGAACAACGATCTAGTGAACAAAAGAAATTGTGCTTTACTCAGCAAACAAGAAGACAGTGATGAAAATAGGTACAGACTTAAAATATTCCCTGTAGATTGAAATCAATAGAAAATAAAAAATCACTCCCTGGAGTCACTGTGAAAAGCGTAAGGAAACAAGATTGTTTAAAAAAAAAAAAGGTCAGGGCCCTCCCTGGTGGCGCAGTGGGTTAAAGCACTGCACTAAGAAGCTAAAGCCACTTCCGCATGAGTTTGATCCCTGCCTGTCCCAGAGGTGACCACATGGCCTGGCAGACCTTCCTGACCCGCCCGCTGCTCCCCTCAGCAGTGTACTCCATCTATCTGCCTGTTCTGCTCCCCGCTCTGTGTGTGGTGAATCCTCTCACCATCCCTGCACCTCTGGCCTATACCCAGTTCTGTATCCATAAATAAATAAATCTTAAAAAAAGAGTCATCCAAACAATGATAATTGTTAACATCACACTCACTCTATTTACCTAAAAATATTTTATTCAAGCTCAGCATTAATATTAATTATTCAAAATAGCCAATCATTTCAATTAGAAATATAATTATCTCAGAAATAATGAATTTAAAAATTTACTTAATATTTACTGAAACCACTCACCTCTGGTAATGCATTCTGTTCTATTTTTGGTTTGCAAACTAACACAGAGAGCAGTGATAGAAGAAATTAAATCTACTC